TAGCTCAACTAAGTTTGGGAAAGCTTATTGTTTATCAGACACATTTTGTAGGCAATGTGCAATGCCAGAAATAGCACATATAATAAGAGTTTGTGTAGAAACTTTTATATACCTCTCATGTGGATCCCAGCAACATCGTATTGTTGCTCATCATCAGTGTTAATGAACTGGTTTATTAATTTTATTCTTTGTGTTATTTTTATTCCACTTTTCAGTATGAAATGTTCATAGCAGATAACAAAAATAGTGAAAAGTAAAAGTAAATATAAACAAAAAGCCAAACAATGAAGCATAAAGACCAACAGGAGCTGTAAAATAGCAATCTACTAAAAATCATCTTTCAAAAAGTTGGAAGAATTCATTTTTTTAAAACAGGACTTATCACTGTTTTTACTACTATGGAGTAGAAGTTTAGCATTTCCTGCTTCCCTTGTGCACTTGAAAATCAGAATGTGGAAATAATATGTGATTACAGGGCTATTTTAATGTCACACTGTATCATCTGACCCTTTCTCAAGTCTTCCACAGGCATACATAATATGTGATACAAATAATGATGCGTTGCTTTTATGACATTTTCATCTGGGCAGTTTTCAGATACAGATGTAGATGAGGGGAAGTCTATTTCTCTTACTGTAGTTTTAAATATTTTGTCTTTAGAATAATTTATTCCTACAAATTAATACAGAATTCTGACTGAATGAGCAATGTAGCAATAATGCATTTGACAGGATGCTCATACATTCGTAGGAGGCAAAAATCCATTCACAACATGGTGAATTAAATGTGGAGAATAGCAGTAAATTCCTCCCATGTTCTAGTCTGGAGCCAGGAAGACTATAACAATCGTTCTTTTTCTCTTTCATCCTTTTCATTTCTCTCTTCCTTCCATCTGAAATCCAGTGCAATAGAACATAAATTGGATTTAAATAATATTATTAGGCATATGAGAATATTGGCTTAAATATAATAAATATACTTCTGCATCACAAATTATGTTGTTTCCAGTATTCATACAATATTTTAGGCTGCAATCCTATGTCCACATACCACAGAATAAGCTCAGTGGGTTTTACCTGCAGATAAACACGACTGTTTTGGGAAAAATTCCCAGGCAGAATGACTGAGTTTGCATAAGGATAGCAAAGATTTACTAGCCATGGCTGTGGTACAAACCATGTTTTTTTTTCCAAAAGAGAATACTGTTCAGAAAATATAGTGCTGTAAAAGCCCATAATGGTTTTTGCTCATTTCTCTACTGTACACATGTGGCTGAGAAATAAAAGTATAGTTTTCTAGGATATTGAATCTTGGATATGTGGCACACATGTCTAATGTGCCACATGTATATATCTAGTGTAAGTTGAAAGCAATGTCTGGCTTTCGGAAAGCCAATGTTTTTGACTTGCTTGTCTTAGTCTCTGCATATTGCAATTTGAAGATATGAAAAAGTATAAACAACATCCCATTGGGTTCCACCATATTGCACAAGCTGTTGCCAAATGCAAATTTACCCAAGTCATAAAGGGACTGGTCAGCAGTTGCATGAAGGCAGAAACACACCAGAAATGTTCTTCCTTATGACTTTTAATTGCCTAAATTATTTTTAAAATCTCCACAGTAACCTTCATCCAATCAACCCAAGTTGATACATTTCAGATGTCTGCATGTTCCGTTATCACAAACTAACATGGGGACGTTAGAAATTGTAGTCCATCACACTTGACGGGTTTCAGATTAGGAGTAGGTTGAGTTATTGCAAGTTCCTTTTGACTTCACAATTTGATCAAAAAACATTTGAAATCAGAATAATGCATAGTGGAAAGGTGCAATATATTCTATCTATCCATAGAATCTGGAGCTTATGTTTGCAATATCTCTTAGAATTTGTTATTAATTTCTAGAAGGTCCACAGAATTCAAAAAGGGTATAAATACACACATACATGCTCTCTTTCCTTCCTTCCTTCCTTCAATTCCAATGATTTGCACTGAGATATATGACGATGTAACTTAAACGAGTGAACCATAGCCACCTGACATTTAATTTCACTAGTGCATTTTCAAATATTTGTCTCTCTGCATAAAATTCCTTGTGAGACTACAGAAATAACAAAAGGGAAATATATTTGCAAAATTGAAAAGGAGGGAAAAAGAGAAAGAAAATACACTGACACAGGGAACAGCACTAAAATGACTCATGCAAAGATTTTTCCTCTAAACGAACACTGTTATTTTCCTGTTTTCTTTTCTGTTCTTAATTGTCTTGCACTTCTAACTATAGACAGAAACAATGGTAGCAAGAAATAGTAACGGAGAACTAGCAATGCCAACACTATACTTCAGAGAAGTTCTCAAACAACATGAACAACAAACTATAAAAATTTATAAATGTAAATATTTTTTTTACTTTTGCTGTCCCCTCCTGTTGTCCAGATTAGTTTTATCCTGTGGTTTTGAAATGAAATAACTATGTGAAATGATCTTACATGGGATCCTGAAGCACATCCCATTGTATTCAATAGGATTTTCCCCCAAGTCATGATATTAAGACATGTAGCAATTGTCTTTGGGTCCTTTACATTTGGTTATTGACCACAGTTTGGGCAAAAAAAAAACTTCTATTGACAAACTCCTAGCTCCAGAAAAGCTGTGGACAGATTGAGACTGAAATGAGATTTTTGTGGAAGAAATTATTTATTGAGTGCGAACATGGGACCTAATGGCAATTTCTTCCACTGCTCTATAAAAGTTAGCCTTAACCATTTTTTTCTCAGCATGAATGTGAACACAAAAGTGAAATAAAATCCATGCACTTTACAAAAAGAAAATTATATTGGCAGGTATCCCCACTTCTAATTTCCCAAGTGAAAAGAAAATTGTGTACATATGGTGCAGTCCACAGAGTACTGTGGCTGTGCCAACACTGCTCCAAATTTCATTGAAAGGATGAAGTTTTATAGCATCTACATTCAGGGTACATGTTGCACTGAATATCTACCTGCTGAGGGAGTATAACAGGGGTGTGTGCATCTCCGAATCAGTTTCTGTGCTTTTCTAAGGCCCTACAAAAAGCATGCTGTTGAAGTTTGATAACAAAATATGCCACTGGATTTAAGTGTCAACTAAATAAACCTCATTTAAGTATTTTGTTTAAATTGAGGTTTCCTGAATTACTGCCCCAATTTGGTGGCACAGTTTGTTCCTCAATTTTGGCAGGACCAGAGGGGTTAACATACTAATATAGGGCATTGAATTGTTGCCTTTGTAAGGCCACCCTGAATCCCCTTCAGAGCTGAGAAGGGTGGGATATAAATGTGGTAAATAAAATAATTAATAAATAACACCTGGGGTATAGGATTTGAGAGAAATCACACTAGGTTAGTGGGATACCGCATATGATTGTGCCACAAAAACACAAGGACTAAAATCGGCCATAAGGACTTGAAAGCAACTTTAAGAACAGAGTTGTGGGCAGGATATGTGAGGCAGAAAGGAAGAGCACACTTATGCTGTATTATATGTCCCTTCAATCTATGATGATATCCCCACTGATGACATAATACACCAGCTCCAGACCTGATTCAAATTATTCAAGGTCATTGAGAAGGAGAAATGAACTAAAATAGTTTCTTAATGATTTCCTGCACTCACGTTGCTATGGGAGAACATATGTATGGTATAGTTCAGTACCCAGACATTCACTGAACCATCAACAGGATGCAAACTTCAGCCCCCAGTGGTGCAATGGGTTAATCCCTTGTGCTGGCAGGACTGCTGACCAAGAGGGAAAGTGGGATGAGCACCCTCTGTCAGCTCCAGCTGCCCATGTGGGGACATGAGCGAGGCCTCCCACAAGGATGGTAAAACATCAAACATCCAGACGTCCCCTGGGCAATGTCCTTGCAGATGGCCAATTCTCTTACACCAGAAGTGACTTGCCATTTCTCAAGTTACTCCTGACATGAAAAAAGGGATGTTGGTTGAATTCAGAGAAATCTATCTCTCGACCAGAATTACACCATTTAGAATTCACAAAGGGGAGATCTGAGATTGGGAAATTATGAAAAACAGGCCATTTGAACACCGAGAACCAACACAAAACAACCTGGCCTCAGAGCTCACCCAAGAACTTAAGAACGCCCTTTAGAAATTTAACAGGTACATGGGACAGGTGCTTTTCAGCTTCCAAATTCCAACACATAACCCCACTCTAACAACAGGGAGTGACAAGGCATCCCACACAGCTATGCAAGGGAAGGGGGTAACCTGCCACAACACACCTGTCTTCTATGCCATAACTTAGCACTTTTGCCATAATAGGAAAAAATGCTAATGGCTCCTTCTATATGTGGGAGGAATTTCAGAACTTTTGCCAGCACAATCCTTGATTGGTGGTGTTCGTGATGTTTCCGAAGATGTTGTGGGTTGATTTTGTTTTTTAATGCAGTTTTACATGTGGTTCTCCCCCTGCCCTTGCTTTTGTGTTTTCTCTCTTTCTACCCAATATTTATTTGGGGCTGTGGACATTCCATCAGAGCAGTGGTGGCTTACCACCTATCCACAGATATGTCACTAAAGGCTTGTGATGTCTGTGTAATTATATCTGCAACTAACCTTGGAAATGAAAAGGACACCCTCGCCTTTCTAGAAGATGTGTAGGGAATACTTTCCTATTTACTTTTCACACTCAGAAGATATACTCAAGACGCTGTCCACAACTTACACCTTCTTCCTATTGTTCTATAGTATTTTGCTCTAGTAACCTGTGTTTCGTGCGCTATTGTGTACTACAGGTTAAATATCCCTTATCCAAAATGTTTTCTTATCCTGTTGGAGGCTTCTCTCATGTTCCCTCATGGGAAGCTAGAGCTGGCAGTCAGGAGTTCACCCTGCTCCCCAGATTCAAATTGCCGATGTTTCGGTCAGCAGTCCTGCTGGCACAAGAGTTTAACCCAATGCTGAGGATTATTTCTATGAAGGCATGCTTGATATAGTTACCTTGCTTTCTCTTTAAGATGACAAATGAATACTAAGGGCATTTGAGTTGCTCCTGATGTGTGTAGTAGTAGGAAGATGTTGGGTTTGTGGGGTCAACTTTGTTCTTTACTCAGACCTTAAGATCAATCAATTGGTGCCCACTGCAAAAGATGCAGACAAAGCATTAATGGATTCGGAATCCAAGGCTTTGTTCTGAATCTTGGAAGCAAATGGAGTTTATTTATTTATGATTTATTTCCTATATTTTTACCCCGCCCTTCTCACCCCTGAGGGGGGACTCAGGGTGGCCTCACAAAAGCATCAAAGGATGCCGACCTCATAAAAGCAATCAACAACCAGCAATACATTAAAATATTAAAAACAGTAATTAAACAATTAATTAAAAACATGCCTGTTAAAATCAGAATCCAGAATCCATCAAAGTTCACACATGCCTCAAGGATTAGTAATTTCAACTGTACAGTTTAGAGTGTGTGGTTGCGTATGTGTTTGTGGGGATCATGTTGTTGCTGCTACAGTTAACTAACTGGGAATCAGAAATCCTTGCTGATCTACAGGAAATTGCTCAAAGATTTATCTGCAGAAGTAAATCAACTTTCCATCTCTCCCCATCTTTGTCCTTTGGTGCTTTAATTCTAATTGATTTGTTCATTGTATCAATGCATAATCATCATGTATAAATAAAGCTTTACAAGTTTATGTGGAAATGAACCAAGGTGAGCGGTACCTAAGCCACCCTTTTATTCCTTTTCATTTGGAAAAGCTGTTCTTTCCCTTCGGAGTGCAGTCCGGCAACATAGTGCATTGAATGAAACAGTTGCTTCACGATTATCTAGTGACATGAAAAGTTGAAGCATTGAGCCAACTGAGAACAAACGAACGTTATGTTTTACAGATCACTCCAATCTTCTCAATCCCTTTACAAAACTTCATGATCCATAGAATCTCCATTTTGTATCTCCTAAAGCTGCTCTGCATTTGAGTTTCCAGGAGAGGGTAATTGTATTAGTCTCATGTGGCTAAAAACCAACAAAGATTTTTACAACACCTTAAAATTTCCATTCAGTTTCTTTAAAACTAACCAGTTTATTACACTGTGGACTTCTGTGGACTTCTGTGGACTATAGGCTATACTGCTGTAACAAATGTGTTAGTTTACAAGGTGCCATTGGAGTCTTAGTTGCCTTTATTTCAAAAAACGATTCTGACATTGCACCATTGCCATGAACAGAAGGGATTGCTCCTTTAAAGTGTACCTGCACGGTGTAATGCATGTCATATATCACCGCACTACAAGCTCGATACATTATTTGTGAATGTCATTTTTTAAAATGAGAACACTGACTGCAGAGCGGAAAGTTTCAGGAAGCCAGTGTGGTTTCCTAGGACTTCTGCAGATGTCTTCATTCACTGGCCTTTTGGTGCTGTCCATGGTGCTGATACTGGGTTTGCGAGGCTTCAGTTCTGTGGCTGACATGCTCTAATCCAGGCATAGGAAAACTTCAGCACTCCAGGTGTTTTGGACTTCAACGCCCACCATTCCTAACAGCCTCAGGCCCTTTCCTTTTCCCCCTCAGCCGCTTATGCGGCTTAAGTGGCTGAGGGGGGAAATGAAAGGGTCTGAGGCTGTTAGGAATGGTGAGAGTTGACGTCCAAAACATCTGGAAGGAAGGCTAAAGTTGGCCCATGCCTACTCTAATCTCAACATTCAGCTCCAAATCCTTGAATTTTATGTCACAGACAGTAAACCTTTCCTTATCCCACATATCCAGCTCACACTTGGGACAGATTCCCCCCTCTCTGTATGTTCTGTGGAAGTGAAGTGAATATTCCCTGGGTCGCCATGGTGATAGTGTGCTCTGTTCTTTAGAGCAAGACAAATTAGGCACCACCTCATTAGCTGGAAGACTTCTCTAGCTTGCTGCTCTGCCATCGCAGAATGATTCCTCCTTGGAAGACCCAGGAAGGCAGTGGAGTAGGGGCCTCTGCCTGGTTGGGTGACATTGCGTCACAGTGCCACATATCTCTTGCTACACCACTCTCTCCAGCACAGCTGCAAAACAAATTCAAGGTGCCACCCAGAGCCACCAAAATCAGGGACAATGTCACCCCCCATCCCAACTCCATCTGGGATGAAGAGGATATACCAACCCTGTTGCTTCCCAACTCGAGCTTCATGGGAAGGTTCTTCCCTGCTCAAGGGGTACTGCCAAACTAAGTCTTCTGTGAAGCAGTGCCTTGCTTTCTCTGTCACATTGGAGAAAAAATCCACTTAAAATCTGGTTTCTGCCTCCTGCAGAATTCTGGGGTTTGTAGTTTAGGGAGGAGCCTTTAACAGCCTCCCTAAACTACAACTCCAGAATTCTGCAGGAGGAAGAAACCAGATTTTAAGTGGATTTTTTACCTAGTGTGATGAAGTGTAAATGCTTTAATTTTGTATCCATTTCATAACTAGACTGTGCTGCATCTTCCCTGCCACCATGAAACAAACAAACACAACAGTATGTTCTTCATAAAATCATGGGATATTTTTTCACACAAGGGATCCAAATAGGCTCTTTGAGTTAAGAATAAAGGTAAAGGTTTCCCCTTGACATTAAGTCTAGTCGTGTCTGACTCTGGGAGGTGGTGCTCATCTCTATTTCTAAGCTGAAGAGCCGCCGTTGTCCATAGACACCTCCAAGATCATGTGGCCAGCATGACTGCATGGAGTACCTTTACCTTCCCGCTGGAGCAGTACCTATTGATCTACTCATATTTGCATGTTTTCCAACTGCTAGGTTGGCAGAAGCTGGGGCTAACAGCGGGAGCTCACCTTGTTCCCCGGATTCAAACTGCCAACCTTCCGATTAGCAAGTTCAGCAGCTCTGTGCTTTAACCCGCTGTGCCACCGGAGGCTTTGGGTCAAGAATGTATCTTTTCAAACACACGCACAATGTAACTTCAGCCTGATTTCACTCGAGGAGGATTTTCGTTCCCCGGGAAATGGAGCAAGAAATCACAACTTTCCAGACGCCCAGGGCGAGATGACATTTGAAGACCTCACGCTCCCCCCTCCCCTCTTTTCTTTCCCTCCCCGCCTGGCTTTGAAGGCAGGAAGGGAAGCCCAATGGTGAGAGCTGAGAGCCCTCTTTCCTTCCTGGTAAACATAGATCCCCGCCAGTTCGGAGTGGAATTGGGGAAGGGAGCATCGCAAGGAGAAAGGGGCGCGCACGCAGACCCACTCTCCCATCCACCAGCCTTTCCTGCCAACCTCCCCAGAAGAAGAAGAAAAACAAACCCAGTGGGTTGCTTTCCCCGCAGGCGGCCCTTGCTCCCATCCCTTCTTGTTTGGCTTCAGTTTGTTTATTTTGCTCTCCAATGGAGACGATCCGAAAGGAGTCCCTCTTTTTCGGTTATGTAACAAAGGGCGAGGAGTCCGGCAAAGACCAAGCAGAACTTTGGAAGGGAAAGAGTTGGACGTGGGACCCGACCCACGCGAGCCGCACGGGAGCCTGACTTACCTGGTCGCCGCACGTCTCTCCCCCGCTCACGCGATCATGGTTTCCTGCCTTCCTCGCAACCGAGCAGGGCTTTTCCGACGAAGGGAAGGAGGGCGGTGGGTGCCTCGAGGAAAGAACGGGGACGAAGGATGTAAAAACCAGTTGTGGTGGTTGTTGTTGTTTCTAAAGGGCTCCTACGCCGAGATCCAGCGCGCGTCCATCCTCCCCGCTTCCCCTTCCCCGAGCTCTGGCTCCAGTTTCGGGGCTTCCCCTTCCTTCCCTCCAGGCTGCCCTCTTCGCCTAGGAGCTGTTCAGCTGGCAGGGCAGAGGCGACGCCGGGATCGCCCTCGGGGCAAAGGGGGCGCGCGTGGAGACACCCATCCCGGAGCAAAAAGGGACGAAGCCCTCGGGGACGCCTCGCCGTCTCCAGGAACGCGACTCTCCGCCAGGCTGCCTTTGGATCGCCGCTCTCTTCGAAAACAAGGCAACTGGGGGGAGAATTCGGCTCCGCACAGCGCCACCTAGTGGCCCGAGGAGGCACCGCATGCAATGCAGGACGGAGAGCTTTGAAAAGGGGGGGGGGGTCTGTTTGGCTGTTGGGAAGAAGAGAGCCTGCCTTGTGCCTTCCTTTCCGGCGACGTGGAAACTTTACTGTCTGCGCAACCACTCCATTTCCTAGGTGCCGGTTTCCCCCCCTCCCTGGCGGAGCTGGGCTACAACCCGCGCCTGTGTGTAGTACACAGAGATTGTAAACATGGGTGGGCAGTGGGTTGAGAGCTAATTTTGGACCAGGGAAATGGCAACACGTTGGGGGATGCCTTTATTGGCATCTTCTATATAAATAAAAAGCTGGGGTGAAAATTGCTGGAAGAAACATTAACAACCTCAGATATGCAGATGACACCACTCTGATGGCCGAAAGCGAGGAGGAGCTGAGGAGCCTTCTAATCAAGGTGAAAGAAGAAAGCGCAAAAGCCGGGTTGCAGCTAAACGTCAAAAAAACCAAGATTATGGCAACAAGAATGATTGACAACTGGAAAATAGAGGGAGAAACCGTGGAGGCCGTGACAGACTTTGTATTTCTAGGTTCAAAGATTACTGCAGATGCAGACTGTAGCCAGGAAATCAGAAGACGCTTACTTCTTGGGAGGGGAGCAATGTCCAGTCTCGATAAAATAGTAAAGAGTAGAGACATCAGACTGGCAACAAAGATCCGCCTAGTCAAAGCCATGGTATTCCCTGTAGTAACCTACGGATGTGAGAGCTGGACCTTAGGGAAGGCTGAGCGAAGGAAGATAGATGCTTTTGAACTGTGGTGTTGGAGGAAAGTGCTGAGAGTGCCTTGGACTGAGACCAGTCCATACTCCAGGAAGTAAAGCCCGACTGCTCACTGGAGGGAAGGATATTAGAGGCAGAGATGAAGTACTTTGGCCACATCATGTGAAGAAAGGAAAGCTTAGAGAAGACAATTATGCTGGGGAATGGAAGGAAAAAGGAAGAGGGGCCGACCAAGGGCAAGATGGATGGATGGCATCCTTGAAGTGACTGGACTGACCTTGAGGAGCTGGGGGTGGTACCGGCCGACAGGGAGCTCTGGCGTGGGCTGGTCCATGAGGTCACGAAGAGTCGGAGACGACTGAACGAATGAACAACAACAACATATAAATAAAAATGTAAAGTTCGTTTGTGGGATTAACGTCACTCAAAATCCACTGGACAAATTGACACCAAATTTGGCCACAAGACATCTATCAGGCCAACAAGTGATCATCACTCATAAAAACAAAACAAAACAAAAATTGTGAGCATCAACCTCCAGAATCAGAGACGACTAGACTTAATGTTAGTGGAAAGCCTTTACTTTTACCTACCTTGAGGGACTGAATAGATACACTGTGTTAGTGGCTCTAGTAATCTTTACCCCATGACACTAGAAGCTGCATTTTCACTGGCGGTGTATTTTCGATTGCCAGTTGCTGAGGACAAACAACCAAACAACGGCAACCGCTTTCAAGATATTTGTCTTGTGAGGACAGATTGGTCATTCTTGAAGGAAAAATGGGGATGATAACAGATTGGAATAATCCACCATATATCTAATGGGAACAAGTCTGAAATCAGAGTTTTGGATTATACGTATTTTGTAATCTGGTCCTTTGAATGAAGTAGATGATGCTTCAATATTTATCTATATACATAATAAAAGTGAAAACATGTATGTGTGGATGTAGCTGGGATGTTCACTTACACAGACAAGCTCCTGTCTCCACAAACAGCTATAGATCCCAGTACTCAGGAGACACCAAAGGCCCTCCTTCCAATGACATTGCAGGTTATAACCATTATGCAGGAATGCCATTAACATGTCCAAGAGCCCTGCCAATGTCCTCCACAAACACTATACTGCCCATCACTCAAGTGAAGGCTTTCATACGGGGACAATTTCATCCTAGATTTTATGTGTTTCCTCCACCACAGACATCCCAGTGTTTCTTACTCTTCATTGGTGTGGAATTTGCATGACCCTTCCCACTGCTGCTCCCTTAACCCTTTCCTATTCTTTTCTATGGCACACAGCAAACAGAAGAATTGGTCAGCAACTGAACATACTAGAGTGGTTTGGGGAGAATTCACAATGATTTATAGGAGTTCTAGGTACTGGGATGTATAGTTCACCTGTAATCAATGAGCACTCTGAACACCACCAAAGATGGAATTGGACCAAACTTGGCACACAGAGCCCCCATGACCAACAAAAAATACTGGAGGTCTTTGGGGGAAATTCACTTTAATTTTGGGGAGTTGTATTTCACCTGCATCCAGAGAGCACTGTGAACCCAAACACTGATGGATCTGGACCAAACTTGGCACACATGCCTGATGTGATGAAATTTGATTACTGGAGGGGTTTGGGGGGAACAGACCTTCCTTTCTGGGAGTTGTAGTTCATCAACAACCAGAGAAACTGTGACCTCATCTGATGATGGACCTGACCAAACAGAACAACCATGACCAACTCAACTTACTGGAGGGGTTTGAGGGAACTGACTCACCATAGTGGGAGTTGTAGTTTACCCTACAGACAGTGCACACTGAACCCCACCGATGATGCATTTAGAGCAAACTAGCCCAACGTAACAGACTTTAAGTACTGATGGAGTTTTTTGGAGTTAATCTGGCATGATGTGAGTTGTAGTTCATCCACAACCTTATGCATTTTGTAGAATTAAAAATGGACTTTTTCAAATAACCTGGGCAATGCCGGGTACCCAAGCTTGTGCTACAATAAATGTGAAACCTTTTAAAGTGCCACACTAGGACTCTTTTCCTTTTTTCCTATAACAGGCTGATTGTGCTATCTCTGTTGACTGTATGATTGTTGGAAGCTCCTGTGATCTGAACTATGCACTGGTGTAGCTCAAGGGCAGCACATCTGCAATTGTTAAATAATAACTAACAGGTGAAATGGACTACTCAAAAGGATTTTGTACAGGCCTGCTATACCTCCCTCTCAGTTTAGCTACAACTGAAAGAACGATTCAAAGCAATTTTTGAAAATGAATCCAGTTTAGATCTCTCTCAAATGAAAGAATAATTGAACTTAGTTGCAAGTGTAGAATGAAAGGTGAGTCTTGTGAATTTGTATGGCACAAGTGACTGAACTATTTCTCTCTCCTACTTGCCACTGCTGTAAATGTTGTACAACTTACTTTATTCACGCATGTCTTCAAGGGCAGTGGAGGACACTGGAAGTGTTTAATTAAGATTCAGCTGTCACTCTAGCTGGCTTCTGGAGTTGGCACAAAAGGGGCATCTGCTCCTCTTTTGCCTTGGGAAGACATTGTCTTGGGTCCACCTCTATTTATTGCACCACTGATGTGTGCTGAATAGGTAGCACTGAACGCAGGCTCCACCCTGGAGAAGCATTTTACTTTGCTGGCAGTTTCCATGTCAAGAAGGCAGTGAATCTATTTCAGGTTTTGGTCTGAACTTTAAAAGAAATATCCAGGATGCTGAAAAAAAATAGGGACAAGGTTTCTGGACATTGGATGGCTCTTTTCATATTCATACATCGTGGCACACATTTAGCACCACATTGACAAAGAAGACACCAGCTGACACTGACCTGATTGTTGTGCTAAATCTCCTACTTAATGATAATATACTTTATTTATATTCAGCCCTATCTCCCCAAGGACTCAGGGCAGATTACAGTACACATATACCGCAACCATTCATGCCGTTATACAGTACTATTGACAAAGACAAACAGTACATAAACAGAGTAACGGCTTCTCATCTTTTTTCATCTCTGGTATCTGGATGGATTCTGCCCATGGGGAAGATGGGGTATTATTGATCCATCTTCCATGCCAAAGAGATTTGATGTTTTTAGATGCTCTTCTGATTGAATTGCCAGCATGTCCGCATGGGTGCCTTTTCTTATCTCTCCACCAAAGCTGTATCTATTTATCTACTCACATTACTGTTTTTGAACTGCTAGGTGAGCAGAAACTGGGCTGCTGATTAAGAGCTCACTCCAATCCAGATTTGAACTGTTGATCTTTTGAGTGGCAAGATTTTCTGCAGCTGACGTTTTAACCTGCTGTGCTAAAGCCTGGCCCTTACATTCACATAATTCACCAGGTTTGGTTAAATGAATCAGCACCTATTTAAAGTTGAGTTTTTTAACAGTGAAGCTGAATGTCTGCACTGTCTTGTTCTTCCAGAAGCTTAATCTTTCACCTATGCATCAAAGAGACTAGCTGACATTATCAATTACATATTGAATTGCTCTTTTCAAGACCATTTAAGAGTGATCTCTTCTTTAATGATCTTAGCTGTTGCACTGGGATTTTGTCAACAAGATGTTATTTTTATTAAATTAAAAAAACATGCATTTTAAGTTAAATCCTCTCATATAGAAATAATATCCATCTATCCCTTTATTTATATCTCAACTGTCTCCTAGGCTGGGACTCACAAACTTTCTCCTAGGCTTACAAAAATATGCATGGTCTGTCCCAAAAGTAATGAGAATTTTTTACATTTTTTAAAATTGAACATACATGCAATTACAATTTATCCCCTTCAAAATAGGTTCATTATGGTGGAATATAGCAATTCCAGTGTTTCTGCAACTCTTCATAGCAGTGGAGGAAGTAATCACTTGAGATGCTGTTCGAAGCCCTCGTTGCAAATGCCTGGACATTTTTAACTGTCTGAAAGCGATGTCCTTTGAGGTGGATCCACATGGAGAAATCACAGGGAGCCAAGTCAGGGCTGTATGGTGGATGGGGAAGCATTTAGATCAGCCTTGACTCAAGTCATATAGTTCACTGTTCTCAGTCGAAGAATGTTGCTTCTGACTGTCTGCTGTGACAAGAATCAGAAATTACTATGCACTTTGCTAATATACTGCCTTCTGCAAAGGCAAAGGTTCAACTTACGAAGGTCAAACTGCATGCTTGGTTTCTCCCTCCACTTGCCTCAA